TTCGCGTGAGATAAAATTTGGACCGCGGCCGCGGGGAAGGACGGGGATTGAAGATAGATCAGAGATGTAAGTCTTACGCGATTGGCTCGCCGACACCGAACTCCAGGATCTGCATATTCTGATAGGCGTAATGCATCATGCTGATGTATCTGGCCCACGCAAGCCATGGTGGGACCGACGTCGCCAAATAGCCGCCCAAAAGCTGGGTCGAGAGTGTGTACAGCGCGGACACGGTGATGCCCACCTGCAGATCTTCGCAACAGGCGCCCACGAAGAATCCAACGCTCTGTAAAGTATCGCGAAATTGAGCAGCTGGACGCAAATAAAACCGACTTATGTCGAGCGGTTGAATAACCGGCCGGCGCTCTCCGCCTCTCTGATCGATGGCTTTCGAGAGCGGACCGATATAGGATATGCCTTCGCGCACATTTCGGCACCAAATTTCCAATCTCTCGGCTCGCAATAAGCCGAGAGCGTTTAAAAGCTGCCCTGCTTATATCATCTTAATATCTTCCAATAATGTAAAAATACCGATTGAAAACACGATTGCGATTATCGATTATGCTCCCGAGAAAATATCTCCCTATAAAATAGAATGTTTCACTGCTTCGTAAAAAAATAAAACATTGTCCCCAATAAAAAAAATATTGTCCGTATTTCTGTTACTGATTTCAAATCAGAGATCAAATGCTTGTGTTTATATTAATTTTCAATGGTGGTATTACACCGAGCGTTTTGACAAATAATTCTTTTAGTCTAACTAAAATATCATGCGTCAAGTAGCTATATTATATTTTTTCGTGAAAGTAACCTTGTTTCGCGAGCGATAATTTAAAGAATTATCCGATACCGATATTACAATGTGAAAATTATATTACGTCCTGAGAATTATTGGAAAAATAATTGATACGCGTTTGCGAGTTTCAGTTCGATCCAATATTTAAGCATTATTTAAATCAATTGATAATTATATTATTATTACATACGAAATAGAAGAAACATCCGATCATCATTTTTATGTAAAAAATTATTTTGTATTTAGACAATTATTAGATTTCCCGTTTCCATTTTCCGAGTTTGTTACATTTCAGCGGTCGTACGTTTGATTCACGATCAACGTTTCAACGTGACTGAATATTGAGTACGCGAATTAAAATTAAAATTCTAATTCCGAATCGAAATGACACAAAATGGATGGCCACTTTCCAATTCCAACACCGATCGCGACCGATCGGGAAATTGCCGTACCTGCGCGACTACGGTGTTGAGCAGCAAGAACATGAGCAGCGTGATGAAGACCGCTAGATTGTGGAAGCCCAACATTGGGTAACTAATCATATGGTAGACTGCGGGCAGCGTTATCGTCAACGGCAGCTCGCCCACCATCTTCGCCAGGTAATAGGCCGAGAGCCGATAGGATCCTGACAGGCGTTCCTTGTTGATCACCTCGCGCTCCGGGGGAACTGGAAGAAACGTCATCATCACGTTACTTTCCGGAATTATATCGCGTAAAGTCAATGTCGCACATCGGGCAAGTCGGGAAAGTCGAAGCTTTTAAAAGATCGAGCTTTTAACAGCTAACTCATCGGCGTTCTTCTTTTCGCTTTTAGCGATTCACTTCAAATCGCGAAGAGAGACTGTAAAATATTCGGCCTATCGGATCTTATCGCGATCCTTGGATTTTTTTCATAAACTTTGTAATAAGATTCAATTTGGCCAATTGGTTTTGTTTTCACCGCTTTCCGCGGACGTTTTAAAATAAAGTTGAAATTGATTTATAAACTCCGAGGGAAATCCAAGTTTTCCATTAATCGGAAGAGAAACTTTTACGATTACACGCGCGTCGAGCTTAAATCGCGAATAAACGTTTTAATTGTCGATTTAGAAAATTTACATACAATTACTATTCCGTATAATTAAACGCTCGTGTAATTAAAATTTATTTTGTTGGCTCGCAGAAGTAAATTTGATACGTTGTAATTTTGTTTCATTCAAATATCTAATTAATGCAAATATTATCCATGATAATAACCGGTCTAGCCTCAAGGGTACAATGGACAATTTTCTTCTTCGCGACGGGATTTCGGTCACAGGCAACGCGCAAATGAGAATTAAATTCAACTCACAGCTAGTGAGCGCTCCAAAGTGTGCAAAAAGCATCCAGTATGTGTTGCTGAAGAACATCCATCCCTGGATATCGTGAATGGCTGCTTCAGTTCTGGGAAGACCCAGCCATAAAAGCCCGGTTAGAAGTCCGAGAGCTACCGTTTGTAGCCAGTGCAAACGCGACAACATTCGCGGTCGGGCCTCTTGAAAATTTCTTTCCGATAATACCTGAAATCAAAGGAAGGCGTCCCGTTTACAACGGATGGCCGTTGATTCCTGCGGAGGTTGCCACCAAGTTGCTAACAAACGTAATAAATTAAAGGTTTTATTTGCGCGACTCCGCTCGCGTGCGTGAAAGCTCTCTTCTAGAGAAGAGAAAAGAAGGAAAAAGAAAACGTTCAAAATTAAATCCTGATAAATATATGATATATAAAATTGAGTCTATAATTTTTCTGTGTGGAAAATTAAAGCAGGATTGCTGTTGGTACATCTTTCCGAGAAGATCCGGACCGGGGGGGGGGGGGGGGCGGGGGGTTTCGTTTACTTCACGGATTACTTCACGATACACATGATTTTATAATAATCACACAGCCGTCAAGTTAATATCTTCGGAACGACTCGATTATATCAGCGTCCGTGAGAAAAATAGAACGCAAAGTTTCACAATGCTAGTTTTCGAAGGCCTTTTTAAACAATAACTACGGTACGTATATAGGGTGTCTCGGACATCCGTCGCGTCGAAAGGCTGATTTTCGGATCTGTGTTACTTATTGTTTTACGATGTCCACCAGGTCAACGAACAAAGAGAACGAACAAAGAGATTTATGTTCCGTGTCTCCTAGTTCAATAAATAACGCCGATAGAATATTGGACCTTGAACATCCCCCCCTCCCCCCCTCTCTCTCT